GGAAATGAAAAATAAGCAAATTATTTACAACCGCTACAATACTCCCACTAGAGCTCTCACTAAGAAAACGCTCGACAAGGTGCCTACGGAACACACTGAGCAAGCTTATGTGGAAGGGAAACAACACGACCAGAACGAGAGTGTGCGGAGCTGCGTGTAGTCGGAGGGTACAGAAGACTCGGTGTGATGGCGTCAGTGTGTTGTTAGCTAGGAGTAATGAGTCAGGAGCGGGAGTATTCTGTGAGGAGGAAACGGGGTCTGTACTATCGACGGTAGGTTCAAGGTAAGCTGATTCGAGTTGGTCGATGCTCACGGATCCTTTTGGTCCATTCTTACTCAACACGAAATACTTCGATTTCCGAGATAATACCTTATATGGGCCTCCATATGGCGGAGTTAAATGTCTTCAGAAGGCGTAGACGCAGATGAAAAGAAACGGACACTTGGGCAAATTGGGGTGGATTTGCTGTTTACGTATCTTAGGCCGCGTAGACCCTGGTCGGTTGGATCGAACCTGCTGTTTGAGGCTTTCAGCGTACCAGAAGTAGTCTAATTCGCTGGTGGTGCGAGAGTCCAGTAACATCTCATCAGGTAGTCGGAAGGTAGTTCCGAATACCATTTCTGCAAGGCAGCACCCAAAGTCCTCTTTGGTAGTATTGCGTATGCCAAGGAGGATCGCAGTGAGACGTTCAGACCAGCTTGCGTCGAAGGAACTAGCCTTGTTGGCAGCTTTTAATTGTCGATGAAAGCGCTCGACGAGGCCACTGTAACCGAGGTACTACGCGGTTGTTCTTATGTGTACAGCCTAATAAGCGACTCAGGTCACGGAACAGTGTGGAACCAAACTGAGTCCCTCTGTCGGTAATGATGGTGGCTGGAACACCGGACAGAGAAACCCAAGATTCGACAAAAGCACGGGAAACAGGTTAGGTAGATTAGCACGTAAATAAACACCTTGTGGCCAACGGGTAAAGCATTAAACACGTGTTAGAAGATGAGCAAAACCGTTGGAAGGAAGTAAAGGGCCAAAAATATCTGGGTGAAGGTATCTAAAACGTGCGACAGGGAGTGAAAATATACCTGGGGTAGTGACTGTGTGATGATGAACTTTACTGGTTTGGTAACTAAGACAATGTTTAGCTCAGTCTCTAATGTCGGTACGCATATTGTACCAGAAGAAGCGGTCGGCAATGAGCTTTACGGGTGTGAAAGACCGTGAAAATGAGCAAAAATGGCTCGACGAAATGATCGTGGGACAAAGGTTATAGGCTCACAGTAAACGCTTATGTCAGAGTTAAGTACGGGCGATTGTGTGACTTTAAATGAGGGTTTGATCGAAGTTGGACAAGCACAGAATCATTGTTTTGAGCGGCCGCTATTCTCTCCAGGTCGCTGGGTGTTTATGACAGTTGCTTCATATGAGCGCGAGCCAATGCAGCGGCAACAGGGTGGTTAGGACCGTCGATATAACTAACAGCAACACAAACCTGCGACAGATAGTCCAGATGACGCGTTTTCCAGGGTGAGTAATGGTCTGAGGCAGAACGGAAAAAGCACCACAATGGTTTGTGATATGTCAAGAGTATGAAACGACATCCTTCTAAAAGGTGATGGAAATGTTTCACAGACGAGTACATGGCGAGGAGCTCTCGACCAGAGGTTCTGTACCTGAACTGAGCAGTTTGTAGCTGCCGTGCGAAAAAGGATAGTGGGTGAATAACATTACCAACTAACGGTTGTAAAACTGCGCCGACAGCGGAACTTGGAGCATCCGTCTTAAGGACAAGTGTAGCGTCCTCAGTGGTGTTCAAGTGATGGAGAGATGTGATCTCACTAACCTTCTGCATGACGGCCGTGAACGCGGCTTCGACTTCTGGGGTTATCGTGAACGTCTTTGAATTGCATTTCCGTAAGTCGGTGAGCTGATGAAGTCAGCACATTTGGGAATGAGTCAGCTGTAGTAGTTAATTATACCGAGAAATCGGCGTAGGCTTCGGAGAGGTTGAGACACCGGATAGTCGACGATCGCTTGGGGTTTACCCAGGAGAGGGGTAATACCTTCACCATCAAGCCCGTGACCGGGAAAAAGGACGGTGGGCTGAACAAATTTGCATTTGTCCGGGTTGATGGGTATACTGTGTTTTTCAAAGCGTTCGAAAACCATTCGAAGGTTTGCTAAATGCTCGTCAGGTGTGGCGCTTGTGGTCAAAACGTCGTCAATGTGAACGTAGACGAAGCCAAGGCTACGGAGGTCCAGACCCAAAAAGCGTTGGAATGACTGTGCTGCGTTCCGGAGGCCGAAGGGCATACTAAGAAATTCATAAAGGCAAAATGGAATGACCACAACGGTTTTTGCGATGTCTTCCTCCGCCATTGGGATTTGATGGTAAGCTCTGACTAGGTCGCGTTTGGTAAATATTGAATTCCGGTTAGTCCAAGAGAGAAATCATAGATATGAGTGATAGTATATCTATCCGGAACAGTGACGTTGTTGGGAACACGGTAGTCGCCGCATGGTCTCCAATCGCCTGGCTTTTTAGACACCAAATGGGGTGGTTATGCCTAGCAGCTGTGTAAAGGACGAACAATGCCAAGGTCAAGCATGTGTTGGAATTCCTTGTTAGCTGCCTGAAGTATTTCAGGGTGCAAGCGTCAAGGTTTAACAGTTACTGGCAGACCGGTTGTACCCATATGATAGCGTACATCGTGTTTAGGGTCGGAAGTGTCCCTACTTGCCCGAAATAGGGACGGAACTTGTCAGAGCAATGAACAGTACTTTGCGCAGTCAGGTATGAGGATGCGAAGCTCGAGAGGACTGACTGAAGCAAGTTGGCAGGGTGTGCTTAAAGACGTATTATCGTCTTGTAATTTCCCACAACGTAGGTCGACCACAAAACCGAACTTCCTGAGAAAGTCGATTCCGATGACGGGCTTTTGCACATCGGCGAAGGTAAAACTGGAAGAGAAGTTACGCCGTAGTCCTAGACACAAAGTAAGTAATTGCTAGCCGTAGGTAGCCATTTTAGTCTGATTAGCTGCCGTAAGCATTGGACCTGCTGGTTGCAGAGGGCGTTTTATAGAGAACGGGGGAGAACGCAGACTTCTGCACCAGGATCTACCAAGAAGTGAAATCTGGATATAGAGTCAAGTACGTACAACAGGCGACTAATAACCTGGCCAGCGACAGCCGCCGCCATTACTGGCCGGCCATGTGGTTTCCCGACATAGGATTTGAAAAGGCATTAGGGTGTTTACACCCTGGACGGCACTTACGCCCTGCGTCTCTTAAGCTGTGGTGCCAATAACAACAGCGGTGCGAATGTCGTGTACGAGAGTTGTTAGAACGTCTGGATCGAGAAAGGGATCGTCGCGTAGAAACGCAGTCGCGTCTGAGGTGGAAACAGGTGAGCTCTAAGTTAGAAAATCCCACATTGATTGCATCAAGTAGCGTGGTTCCTGAGAGGGAACGTTCCATCGCGTTAATTGCGGGCGCGCGGTCAGTCATAGTGAAGAAGAAATAGTTATACATGAAATAAATAAAAAGGTGTGGTCACCAATTATATGGAGGAATTATATGGGGAACCGGTAAAGGAGAATATCCATTCAGTCAGGTTTACGTCACATATAAATAATCCTGATGCGCCTTAGCGTAGGACGACTGTAAATCGCGTGGTATGCCGAAGTGTACGTGTACGTATAGTCCGTTAGGGGATAGAGCAAACAGCGATGCACACAATTACAATACGGTGGCAACCAGGGGAGAACCGGTGAAGGCGAGCTCGAAAACAAGCGTAGGTATATATCGTTAATTAAAGAAAGCTGTACAACAGCTGCATCGAAATAGATAAAGGTTGAAAGTAAAAATAAGCAAATTATTTGCAATCGCTACAGTACCTTGATGCACCGTTTCTAGCTCTGGTAGCTTCGCTTCTAAACTTGTGCAATGGATATGACGCTTGCTAACTGTGCTGTGCCTACCAACTGGAAGAAAGGTTTGCTCTGCACCTCTTTTTAAAAGGGTTGCTGGCCACCTTACTTTAAAGTATGGGCCCCTTAGTCTAAGCAGCTTGTTTGTTAATTTGCTAAAATAAGCTGGTGAGGGATGCCCGCGAAAAGCAGTTCAGGGCATTTAGCATTCTCAGCTAATGTTAACTTCTTTGTAAAACGGTATTCGTGTTTGGCTAACCTGCTGGTTGCAGTTACAGTGAAGTGATGCAGCTGACAAAGAAGTTTTCTCTGAGTCCCGTTGAACCCAATGAACAAAATAAACCGCAACCACATTGAACTAAAAATCGTTTGGTTAAAATGTGGTTTTACCTATACGGTGAAGGTGTTGTGCGGCGTAAATTTGTATTGACGAACAAGGTATTGTTTTACTGTTTTGATGCACCAGTTCATTTATTTCAGCGACGGGCATTCCACTTTTGAATTGGTATTTTCTACTTCCAGGTGTAACCGGTCCGCGGACGTCACGGTAACAGGCTAACAAGTAAGGGGTCAATGGGTTTTGCTTCCTGCTATAATTACCCTCATCTTTCTCTCCGACACTACTTGTTTCACTAGCTGCTTCCTTTACATCGGCCTCTTACTAGGCGGCTCGAGCGTCCAGCAGTCTACGAGGTATTTGTCTTGCATTGCAGCTTGTCGCACTACTTGGACACGGAAGAGCTCTGAACTCCGGACCGAAGTAATATTACACCAGGGAACGTGCTTCAAAACGGTCGGTCTGATGGGATGATAAATATCAACCCCTGGGTACATCCAACAAGGGTGAGGAATAGCAGCGAAATGAACATCGGTTAGCATGTAAATATGGCGTGCTGTCCGCTACGGCAACCTCCCAGTCTCCTGCTTATCACCGACCTTTGTGAAGCACGGCAACTTTACTTCCATTTTCGCTATTGCTATTTTGTCATCCATCGAACATAGAGTGACATTGAACTGCATTAGACTGTAACTTTTTATCTACACATTTTAGGTTCATTATCGACGCTTTTGACATGCCTAACTTTGGACATTACCTTACGGAAGCTCAGAAGAAGGAATTGAGGGGAATTGCTGAGGCCATTGTAGCTCCTGGTAAAGGCATTTTGGCTGCCGATGAGAGCGTCGGTTTGTTGCTTGTTGGGTAGTTCGTTATATGCCCCTTCCTTTAGCTACAATTGGCAAGCGTTTTCAGAGTATTGGACTGGAAAACACTGAGGAATTTCGTCGCCAATACAGACAGCTGCTTTTTTCTGCCAATCCCGAGGTGTCGAAACACATATCTGGCGTAATTCTGTTTCACGAGACACTCTATCAAAAAGCGGACGACGGCAGGCCCCTAGTCGAACTGTTAAAGGAACGCAACATTCTGCCGGGAATCAAAGTTGACAAGGGCGTTGTTCCGTTGGCTGGGTCGATCGACGAGTGTACGACTCAGGGCTTGGATGGGTTGGCAGAACGGTGTGCGCAGTACAAAAAGGACGGTTGCCAGTTTGCGAAGTGGCGCTGTGTTCTGAAGATCGGTCCATGCACTCCATCTTATCAGGCCATGTTGGAAAACGCTAATGTTTTGGCACGTTACGCTTCTATCTGTCAACAGGTAATCTCTTATTGATCTGAACTTAGTAGATGTACAGCACTGCGTACAATTGGTTTTTACCCACTTTCATCTGCTCTTCCCATCTGCTAGGACATAAATATGACCCTTATCAGTAACTCATTATCTACTTGAGGATCAGTTTCAACAAGCATGCTAGGACGGGATGTCTAGTTCTGCGCGTCTTTATTTGTAATACCTGCTGTCTAATGTAATGATCACTATTATCGTGACTGTGTATGCACTTCGGAACCACATACGTTAATCTGTCCTGTTTCTGAGCTCACTTAGATATATGGTTATACTTTTTTGTGTGCTGACTAAAATAGTTCGTCTCATCGGATGTAACCCTGCGGATAGAGGATGGTATGTCTGGTGGCTATTTCGTGCCAATGAAGTTGTGGCGTTTGCTTACTGAACCAAATCGCTGAGTGTCAGCATTGTAGATAACCGTCAAGAAGGGAAAGTGAGGGTAACAGACACCAGGTCATCACATTCCATGCCATCTTATCCTTTTCCATGAGCTACCCAAGGATTTCCATATGCATCAATGCTACGCGGTTCCAGTATGCGACAGTCCGACTGTATGACAGATTCTACCAACAGTCCACTCTTCTTAAATGACACCAAACTATCCGGTAAAACACTTGCTGACAAATGACTTATCAGACGTGGGCTGTCCAAATTGTATTTCGTCTGGTAGGCTTCCTTGACTTTGATCCTATATACTAACTAGCAGACACCAGGATTGCTTATCTGACATTCTTACCATATGTTTGAAAAGCGTTGAACATGACTAACAATCTTTTTAGGTATCTGACGATCAGCTATGACCCGAGCAGTCTACTGGCATATATCACACTACAGCCTACAACCGATTATCGTTTGCATGGTTAACTTCATTCCACGCACTCCTCCAGCCACTCATTATCTTTAGTTAATCTCACACGTCCCGTTAATCAAATTAAGTGTAGCTTCACCAAACCAGGGTTATTGCATCAAATCTCACACTCTTCCTTCATCAGTTGTCATGCAGCGTCCAAACGCCATTTTATCTGCCGCACGGGGAGTTGGGTAGTCAAAACCAGCGGTCACTGACCTCTCATTTTTCCATGTTTCTCTTACTCGCCTTCCGCTCTACACCACACGTCCCATCTATGAGCGACAGCAGCTGTAGCACTGTTGTATTCTTTTAGCTACATCTGTCCCCCTCATCATCATCATCGTTATACACGTTAGTTGGGGTTGTAAAACACCTCGGCTACTGTGCCGCAATACATAATAGAAAAAGGAATATAAATACAACGATTGCATGCCAGCTGAGCTACCAGCAACGGATAGGCACCGTTCCGGAAAGCTAACAGCCGGCTACCAGGCAACAAGAAAAATTATGAGGTAAAATTAGATTATGCTGCGAAATGAGATCCTGGCTGTAGTGGGAGACTAAAAAGGATGGGGAGGGACAAATAAACTCACAGTAGGAGCGCCTTTGAGGTCGGTTCCTCGCCATGTCAGCAAGTGTATCTAGCCAAACATGTTCATCATCTTTTGCTCCCTAACCAGGGAGCCATGGAGCTCCAACCGAGGCCAGCTCCATAGTAAGGTCCTTCATACCTCTTAATCAAGTCATTGCTTGGCCACCCCTCCTCTTTTTCTATTCACACCCCCGGCGAGCAAACAACTCATGTCGCGGGAGTCGGTGGGCTGTCATGCGCAACTCGTGGCCGAGCCACCGGAGTCTGGTGCGTGAAATGGCGGTGCTGGGCGGTTCAGTTCCTTTTCCTGTGCCATACACAAAGCGTCGAACACGGTTGTTGCTCACGCGGTGTTCCCACCACATGTGCACCGAAATGCGAAGGCCCGGTGGTCCACGTAACCAGCCTCTTCATGTCTGCTGATCTAGGGGGCCAGGTTTCGCAACAATACAGTAAGGTCGAACCTAGCGCTGCATTGTACACTCTACCCTTCAGGGCGAGAGTGATGTCGCGCCGACGCCATAAGTGGCCAAGACTAGCAAAAGCACCTCGAGCTCCTGATCTTGTCTTCGATCACAAAAGCGCTGATACAACTTCCCAGGTAGTTGAATTTCTGATTGACCTCTAACTGATACCCATCAAGGGTCAGCGCAGGTGGCGATCATTGCCAATTTTGGAGGATAGCGTTGCACTTCTATGGTGCAAAGCTAAGCCCGAAGCGGCTGACAGCCAGTGCTAATCTGTCGAGTGCAGCTTGGCACGTCTGGGAGCTGTCACTGATGAGGGCAATGTCATCTGCATACTCCAAGTCGAGAAGTCGTACTCCTGGGAGCAGCTCCACACCTAAGTCGTCTCCTGGTAGCCAACCTACATGGCTTCGTCAATAAAGAAATTGAAGAGGAAAGGTGACAACACCCATCCTTGTCTCACAGCGCTGAGGATATTGAAGGGCGGCGACAGCCTTCCTTAAGCCCTCAGCGACGGTTTGCGTACCTCTTTGACCCATTGAGCTACACTGGGTGATGCGTCCGAGCATCTTGAGAGCTACTCCTACTAGACTGGTCAATGGTGAGAGGTCAAACAAACTCAGTCTCCTGGTCCTCCAAGTTGGGGTTTGGAATGGGATGGCGTCCATTTCTGTACAACCAAATCATTGCCACCTCCCCGCTGCCTTGCGGACAGGGTTTTAAGCCAGAGGCTTTGGATGAGGACCTAGGTCTGGGCGATATGGAAGTATCTCAGCCCATATACCACCATGACATTTTCTTCAAACATAAACTTAATCCTGCATCGGCCATCGCGCAGTTTATCAAGGGCCGCCTTATCTGCTGCATACAGCAGGGCGGATAAGCACAAACATGCAACTGCTGGCGCCTCCTTTCTTTTCCACCTGTTTCTTCTACTCCCATCCCGACCCACGTTATTAACCTTCTATAATTCCCAGTTTAGTTGCAAGCAACCGAAGTGCTGCTGGGGTATAACCATCTGCAAACACCATTCCACAACACCTATCGGCAAAAGTCCCTTATAAGGCTGCGCTATTCCCTTTCCATGGCGGTGTTCAAGGTTCGCACTCTAAGACAAATAGGTCAACAGGCTACACTAGCATGCACCTTGGACACGCTGGGTATTGTTGTGTGTTGTATGTCGAAACTAGGATCAATGCCCCTAATGGGCATGTTAAATTAACTGCATCTGGCTTACCCTCTCGTTATTGGTTCCACGCATCCGGATACGCCCGTGCAACACTCACGGGTCAAGCTGGTGTAGGTATCTTTCTAAGCTCCAAGACTGAGTCATCGTTGGTTGATTGGATTCCGGTGAACAGCCGTTTATGTGCAGCCCATTTGATGACATCAATTAAGGTGGATTCACGAAGTAGTACAAACCACCTTGTTCGTGATTTCCGCTTATGCTCCCACCGACTGCAGTTCAAATGCTGTCAAAGGCACATTCTATCACGAACTGAACGCGCTAATACGCAGTGCCACTACCTCAGATATTATAGTACTTGCAGGGGATGTGAAGACACAAGTTGGGCGTACGAGCTCTTCAGGAGCTCCGCTGGGTGGTAATTCTGAACGGATTGATGACGCTGAGCGTCTGCTGCAACTGTGTGCGGAGCACCAGTGTTTCTTAGTAGTACTGCTTTTAGACACAGTGAGCGCCACTTGGCGTCCTCCTGTAGCTGACCAGCGATGGACCCAAATTGACCACATAGCCAAAAGTTACAGATGGCGTGGTTCCATCCTGGATTTCCGCTCGTACTGTTGTACTTGTGTCGACTCTGATCATGCCTTAGTATGTCGTCGATTCTCGATGAACTTTACCGGGAGGCGTACCAAGCACTTCCTCCGGTTGGCAACTGAGAAATTCTCTCCGCCCTCGGTCAGATAAGCCTATCAAGACGCACTGCATACCGAACTTTCCCTGTTTTGTCCTCTTGACACAGCTTCAGTGGGATAGGGTCTCGGCCGCCATGCACGACGCAGGAGCATCTGCTTGTGGCACTATCAATCCTCACCGCATCAGTCACTGGATATCCAAGAGGTCGGTGAATCAGTTGTGATCCAAAAGACACCTCCCGGCTGCTTCTGAATACAATGTGACCAGACGGGCTATTAGGCGTGAACTCAAGCAGAGCCTAAGTGATGACAAGGGAGCCTGGTGGACCAGTCAGGAGCAAGAAATGGAGGAGACAGGAGCAGTAGGCAATTGCCGCCAGCTCTTCCAGTTAATTTGCACCACTGGTCCTAGACAACCAGGCGTTAGTGAGACAATCAGACAGTGCGGGTGCGGTGATACACAATAAGGAGTGCCATATGGCTCGTTGGATGGAACACTTTCAAGATCAGTTCAGCTGGCCCTCTGCTCCCGGACCTCTTCCTACTCAGGTGATGCAGGACGAGCCATGGACGGTCAGTTTAGAGCCTCTGTCGGAGGCCGAGGTCCGAAACGCCATTACAGCGCTCAATCGTTTTCCTGCCACTGGCCCGAATTCCCTTCCACCTACACTATTTGAGGATGGAGGTGAGGTCTTCTGCAAAGCACTGACCTCCCTTTCAGAAAACTTGGTAAACGACCGGTTAATGTATTTCTGATGATACAAGATATTGTGCACTGACCTCCCTATTCGAGCGTATATGGAATGAAGTGTCCCGGCTGGTTGGAGCGAATCGATTATAGTGGTAATCTACAAGAACGGCAGTCGCTCCAACTGTTCTAACCACAGGAGTATTAGCCTAACGCCCGTTGTAATCAAATTATGCCTCGATTCTCATTCGTCGCCTCACTGCGGAACGGGAATCTCAGACTAGGGAAGAGCATTTAGGCTTCCGCACAGGAGGTGGCTGTGTGGACCATATGTTCGCTTTGCGGCAGATGCGAGAGCAGCGCCATACATACCGCAGACCAACAATAGCTGTGTTCCTCAATTTCAAGAGTGCGTTCGACTCTGTCGATCGATTGATTCTGTTCAAAATACTTGCGCGGAAAGGTGTTCCAACGAAATATGTGAACATCCTTCGTGCTCTATACTCGAACACTGCAGGCCGCGTCAGGGTCTACGGTGACCTGTCGGACAGCTTTCCGACCACAAGTGGCGTTCTTCAGAGTTGTCCGATTTCCCCATTTTTGTTCAACTTCGTCGTGGATTCTATCATGGAGTGTTCCCTTGCGGTATCTCACAATGTAGGCGTTGCGGTCCTGCCTGGTGAAAGGTTAGTTGACCTACATTATGCGGACGATATCGTCTTGCTTTTCGGCCATGTTGTGACGGCGCAATCAACCCTGAATAGGCTGTCCAGAATCTTCCCATGATTTGGTATGTACTTCGCACCTTCAAAGTGCAGTGTTGCTGCGGGAACACCAGCCACTTTATGACCCTTGCTAACGTGGAACGAGGTGGTTGATCAATTCACTTATCCTGGCAGCTGCATCAGCAATGATGGGCGCATAGAAACTGAGGCCAGCTCACGCATTACAAAGGTCAAAGCTGCCTCCTTGAACCT